CTATCAACTGAAAATATTAGGTGTGTCCCGCGCGCTCATATGACCTTATGCAGTTGCGAGCGCCGTAAAACACTTTTCAAAAACAAACAAATAACGGATATGTTTTGTTTAACTATGGTTCTACTCTATTATAGGTTGCATTTATGAGATGTGATTTTAAAGGAGACATTGTGTTTCACTGTGGTTGTACTGTAGTATGGGTTGTATTTATGAGACATGATTTTAAAGGAGACAATTTGTTTCACTGCGGCTGTACTGAAGTACGGGTTGTATCATTGACTCCTACATTTTTTTATCTTCTCCCCAGTGGAAGAGGATGACGACGATAATATCATTATCATTGCTATGGCCGTCGTCTGCTCATTGCTGGTCATTGCACTCATTTTGGCAGCCATTTTCTTTGTGCACCGCCGCAGAAAGCAGAGGGGTCACAAGTGAGTTCACCTGTACTGGAATGTTTTTTCTGAAATAATGATGTAAGATGACCAGCTAATCTGTATGTTAGTTCTTTTGAAGGCTGATGGTGAGGTGTCTGTTTGAACAGGATGTTGTTTTTTTTTCTTGGCCAAGGCATTTCATTCTTGGTTGATAATGACGGTCATTGATTTATTTCTTACCCCAGTAAGGCTCATGTTGATGGGGGATTTTTTCCAGATTCTGAGAGAGGCTTCTAAACCTTGAGAAATGTTGAGGTTGTCATTGCACTGCAAAGTCCCTTTGCTTTTCCACCTCTCTATTCGCTTTTTGAAAGGGATGTTAAACCTATAAAGTGTCATTGTGTGTGTATGTGTGTGTGTGTGTGTGTGTGTGTGTTTGGGGGGGGGGTGCTTGTTAAACAAGGGCTTTCAAGTTATTGTTTAAAAAATGAGTCCACGGTTTAAAGAATAATTTTACCCTTTGACACCAGGACATCTGTCGAGTCGTAACCTTCTTTGTGGTCAGCCAATTTTGTGCCTGGGAAAGGTCCATATTCTGAAGAAAAAAAATCAGATCAGTCTAACAAAAACAATTCTTGTAAAAGAAAGATGAGTCGACGAACTTTGTGTTATCAAAATCTATAAACCTTATAACCGTAAAAGAGTGATGCTACCCTCTTTAGTTAAAAAAACGAATCCGATTGCAGGCAATGATAATATGACCGATACCCGCTTTCGTCTGCTGTGATAGCTAGGTAAGGGATCAGGTCATCACATGACTTCTACTCCCGTCTTGTAGAACATTTACATACCCAAGTACAATCAGGAGAAAAGTAGAAACCACAGTGTGTCTATTTCTCTCTACTGTCTCAACTACTCTTTCGATGATGTAGCTTCAAAGCTGTATCTTAGACTGTAAGACCAAAGAAAGTCTGATAGAGATAGACTTCTGAACCAGATAAAAAATTTAAGTGACGGTAAAAGTAAACTTTGTCAACAGTGTGCCTTCTTCTTAAGGATGAATATCTGAAAAATTTAGCAAGTTTGGTATTGATTTGTTGTTCATCATTCACCTTCAACTTCACCTATCCCGTAAACTAGATGTCCCTTGGGGTGGTTTTGAAGATTTGGCCCCCAGCTTCCTCCTCTCCTTCTGGTTTTCAGCTTTTCTGAGAGTGTCTTTGAGTTCCAGGCCTGTCCTTCCCTTGATGTTGTCTTCCCAAATTTTCTTCGGTCTGCCTCTGCTCTGCTCCTTTTTCTGTGGACGCTGCCTTGTAGCATCATCTTGGCAGGGCCGGAAGAACGGGTGATGTGTCTATACTATTGCAGTTTGTGTTTTCTGACCAGAGTGAGGTCACCATATGGTCCGATTTCATTTTGATCCGTTGTTGAATTCATCATTTGTAATGTGATTTTTGTATGAGATGCCAAGGATTTTTGTGAAGCATCTCACCTCCACAGCTTGCTTTGATCCTTCTTTCTGGGTCTGCATTCAAGGTCCAGAATTCACATGCATACAAAAATACTGACATGATAAGGGAATGCATCAATCTGATCTTTGATCCGATGGTGATATTTCTGTCTTTCCAGATGGTTTTCAACTTGGTCATTGCTGCTGAGGTTAGCGCTATTCTGGATGTTATTTCTGGTCTTGATCCTTCGTCTGTCACTATTGCACACCGGTATTTGAAGCTGCGTATGGTCCCAAGCCTATTGTTATTGACTTGGATGTCCACTGTGATGTTCTTGTTGCTGTTAGACATTAGTTTGTTCTTATTTGCGCTGATTTCCATGCTGCAGGCTGTGGAGGTCTTTTCAAGACTGTCTATTAAGCTGACTAGTTCTTTCTCTTCTCCCTTCTAAATAGCTTTCTATGGATCAATACAAAACAATGGTGCAATATTATCCAGAAAAGATGTTCCCAGTTTTTATTGCCATTGTTTGACTTCTCTGTGAGTAGGACTTCTATGATTTACTTTCATTTTCTTTTCAAAAGGGAAACAGGACCTGTGCAGCCTGACACCCTTGAGGAGACAGAAATGATCAAAACACGAAGGTAGGAAAACTTTCACCTCAGTACTATAGAAGAAGAGGAGTTGATTTTCTGGATATTTTGTCTTTGTTATTTTGGTAACTGCAATTTCCCACAATTTTAAGTCAGTAAATAATCGTAAAGGAGTTAGACACAGGGAAACAAAGTGAATGTTATACCCCTTAAGTAATAAATAGACTATTTTAGAGTTTGATGTTTCTCAAGTGTTCTGGATTTGGATAGTGCTGACTGGCAAAAGGTCAGACAATGGTAGCCTCATTTTATGTATTTGTCTTGTCAGCATAAAGGACATTAAATTAGACTTCATTTTCATTAACTTGTCCACTTCATTAAATGTGATATAATATTCTCAAAGAAAACAATCATCACAGTAAATACTCTGAGCTCCACATTTGTCTGTTATTAAATGTCACAAGGAATGTCACAAGGAAATGTTTTGGTGTTAGAAACTGAAGCCAAATTTTGATACATGGTTTTGTTAAGTCTGTATTATTACGTTCATGTCTAGACCAGGGGTAGTCTGTCATCTTTTTTATATTGTTTTCAAGAGAGATACTTTAGATCTTTATGGTTAAGTTGACCTAGGTAAAAAGACCTACACTGTGTGTGTGTGTGTGTGTGTGTGTGTGTGTGTGTGTGTGTGTGTGTGTGTGTGTGTGTGTGTGTGTGTGTGTGTGTGTGTGTGTGCGAGCGTGTGTGTGTGTGTGTGTTTCAATTTCCAAAACATCAAAGCATATGTCTATATTGTCTATTCTTTTTAACGAGTAAATTAAACAAGGTTTTTGAAGTATGTTTTTGCGTCGACATGATTGTCTGGTGATGGAACAATGCAATTTATTTTATAATGTATTTCAAACACTATTTTTGTACCGGTGTTTTATTTATCTCACTACAAATTATTTATTTATTTGCGTTGACAATGTTGATATGATATTTATTTGCCAGACCTATCCTGATTCGAACGTTCAGACGAACTCTGGTACAGCTCCACGGAGATTCAGACTTGCTGTTCCGGGCTGAGTTTGAGGTTAGATGGATGTTAAAAAAATCAATTTTGACCACTTTACATGAGATGCTTAAAAGTCGGCACATTTACTAAGTGTGTGTGGGGAGATGGAATGGGGGTGGAGGGTGGGGGGGGGGGAGATAGTCTGTTATTCTACCAACCATGGGTTTATCATTCCTGTATGGGTGGTCTCTCTTGTGTCTGCTCGCCATATCTTTTGTCCAGCTTTCTTTCGTGTAAAGGGGACAATTGGGTTCCTAGGAAACTACAGTTTTAGAAATCACTGTGTTTTGGCCCCCATTTTCTTTCTGATGAAACCTCAGACACCAGGAGACCCCCACCTCCTTTGGTCACAACTATCTCAACTTCTATTTAAGGTAGATGGGTATTTTTGACATTAAAAAAGTGCAAATGAATAAGCTTTAAGATTATACCAGTCACTCTACGTGTCAAAACATCGACAAGCACCTTATTCCAGCTCGTGATAACACCCACCTTTACGGTGTCTCAGGGGGTTGGGGGGGGGGGAGCTCTTGTGGTCTAGAGGTTACAGTGTTCGCCTCTCATCCAAAGGTCCCGTGTTCGAAATATGACAGCCACGGAACATTTTGTTCTCTAAAATTGTCTCCTTTCACCTCCTTTCCTGCCCCTAAACATGTTCTGCCGTCTGCTTTCGTTTCCACTTGCCGCCCCCCCCCCCCCCCTCCCCTTTTTCCCCCTCCTCTGGGCTCCTGACTCTTTGTGCAGACTTTATACTGCTATTCCTTGGCTCCTTCTTACTGTTGTCTTTCAGCCACACCCCTGATCTTATGATAGGTAAGATTTACTCCTAGCCTTCTCGGATACTAAATTGAAGAGTATTTCATGTGTCCTGCGCGCCCATATGACATTGTGCAGTTGCGAGGGCCGTAAAACACGAACAAAAACCAAAAAAACAAAAAAAAAACAGTGTCTCAGTGTTATGAAACGTTTCTCTCTTCAGGACATACAGAAGCTCAGCGCTAGATTTCCCCACGGGAACAAACCGGTGGATGAACTGCCCTGTAAGTTAGCCTGTGCTCAGTTTGTGGTATTGCTTTGGTTTGTCTTCACGGCAGTGGGAAAAATGGCATGAGTCAACAACTTCTGGGTTACATACATTCATCATCATCATAGCCTTTCTCTCCCTGCACCAGGGTATAGGCCACGGACAAACACTTTCTTCCCCTGCACCAGGATATAGGCCACGGACAAACACTTTCCACCTTTCTCTTGATCGTATTCCATGCCTTCCCACTTTTCTGTACATCAATTTCTGTGATTCTTCTCCACATTCCACGCGGTCTCCTCCTTGATCATCTACCCTGGGGATTCCAATACAACACTTTCTTCGATATGCAGCTGCCTGACGCTAGATACATTAGCCTCAAAGAAATGATCACAATCTACGTCCGCTTCTCATGTTGTTCCTGGGTACTTTCTCAGCCCAAACATTCTCCAGAATTTCTCTCGTGGATCAATAATGTTTGTCTTATCTTATCTTGCTATTACTATGGCGTTTGTTTTGGTTCAGCAGTTCAGCTCTCTCTCTCTCTCTCTCTCTCTCTCTCTCTCTCTCTCTCTCTCTCTCTCTCTCTCTCTCTCTCTCTCTCTCTTTCTTTTTTTTTCTTTCTTTCTCTCTCTTTCTCTCTCTCTCTTTTCATTCTCTCTCTGTCTGTCTGTCTGTCTGTCTGTCTGTCTGTCTCTCTCTCTCTCTCTCTCTCTCTCTCTCTCTCTCTCTCTCTCTCTCTCTCTCTCTCTCTCTGTCTCTGTCTCTCTGTGGCTATTTTTTTCGACTTAGAAAAAGCCTTCGACACCACATGGAAACATGGTATTTTAAAAGACCTGCGTGACTTGGGCTTACGCGGAAATCTTCACGAAATTATACAAAACTTTTTGAAAGATCGATCCTTCCAAGTAAAAGTAGGTTCAACCCTATCAAATTTACACACCCAAGAAGAAAACGTCCCCCAGGGAAGCATCTTATCGCCCATTCTTTTCGAAATCAAAATCAATTCCATCACAAAAACCCTTCAAAACAATATTGACTGCTCACTTTACGTTGACGACTTCCTGATCTGCTATAAATCCAAATCCAAAATAGATCACATTGAACGTCAGCTTCAGCTTCAACTCCATAAATTGGAAACTTGGGCAAACGTGCACGGGTTCAAATTTTCTACAATAAAAACAAATTTATTACGTTTTGTCTGTCGCATAAGTGTGTGCACAAGTGTGTGCGACAACCAGATTTATATGTGTTTGGAGAGAAAATTCCTGTTAAAAAACAAGCTCGTTTCCTGGGCGTAATCTTCGACAATAAACTTTCTTTCCTACCACACTTGAAAGACCTAAAGACGAGGTTTCAGAGTGCTCTCAACGCCTTAAAGGTATTATCCAATCCCGAATGGCGAGGAGATACTGAAATACCTCTTCAACTTTACCCGTTCCCTTGTCCGTTCCAGGCTGGACTATGCCAGTCCTGTTTACGGATCAGCATGAAAGTCTTACCTTAAAATTGTAGACCCTGTTCAGAACCAAGGCCTTCGCCTTGCCCTGGGCGCTTTCCGTACTTCATCTGTAGAAAGTTTACAGGCAGAAGCTCATGAACCATCTTTAGAACTTAGAAGGAAAAAACTCTCTTTGCAGTACGCTTTGAAACTTAGCTCAATATCCCAAAACCCAGCCCACAAATGTGTCTTTGGCCTTCCCGAAGATCTAAAAACTCTATCCTCCTT